CTTGTGGAGCCTGGGGTTTGGAGTTTATATGGGTACAGGATAGGGGGCCATGGCGGGCCAAAAGGCAACATTTGGGCACAGAAACAGGAATGCCTGTTCCCATTTAGGGCAGTGGGTTTCCAGGCTTAAGGGTGGGGCCCTAGCCAGGGAACCCCCATTTTCTACCCAGTGTTTCCCTGTCTCCTGTCCATGTAGTAGCTAAGCCCAATGGGGCAGGAATAATTCTCCACCCACAGGGAGGCACTGCAAGTCATATGGCCTAAAGGGATGCAAAATCATCTGGAGAAGGAAACAAAGACTTGGTAACAATTGTACAATTCACCATACCGCCAGAATATCCAAATAATATTCATAGATGATTTCTCCATTTATACATGTTAGATTTTATGAAAAATTCCTATTATTGACAAAGTTTCTGTCTCCAACAGTGTCCTCATCTTTCATTCCTTCATCCCCCAACCCCCCAATATAGATACATTACTACTTTCAGTTCATCAGTGCTTGCATCAATATGACCATGTATATTGTTCACAGACAAGCCAGTTAGTAGACTGTAATTTGTTTCCTTTTTTTTTTGACAACCTTTCTTTTTCCTTTGAGTTAAAAATGGTCTTTTTGTAGCTGCAATTTTAAAACATGCATAGTCTTAATTCTTTTCACATGTTCTTTCCTCTAACATGCAGTGGTCTCTTAAATTCCCCTTTCATTCAGGCATCTCTCTATAGGTCTTTCTTTTTGCCGTCCTCTCACTCCAGTCTGGATTGATTCTGTGTCTGATGTACATTGGTTACTACTAGGTTTCTCTTCACCACTCTTCTAGTGAGATTCCCTGTTTATGAGAGCCTGTACTTTCTCTTTGTTAGCTTTTGCCCTTACGTTGTGGGAGCATGTCCTCCATTAGCTTCTGTGAAGGGATGGGAGAGATGCATTGGCTGAATCCTTGCATGATTCTTGTTTTTTTTACTTCTGGGAGCTTAATAGGACATTTTCTTTATCCTTAGCTCTAAAATATTACAAATACTGTAGCTCACAAAAATCGACTCAAAATGGATCACAGACCCAAGTGTAAAAGTTAAAATTTAAAAACTTCTAAGAGACACACAAGAGAAAATCTTGGTGACCTTGTTAGGCAAATATTTCTTTTAGACACAAAAAACATAGGTTATAACAGAGAAAAAGAATACATTAGACTTTATGAAAATTAGGACTTTTGCTCTTTGAAAACCACCATTAAGAAAATAAAAAAGGAAGACAGAATGCAAGAAAATATTTCCAGTGTGTATCTCTGACACAGGACTTGCATCCTGTAACATATAAAGAGCACTTATGGAGGTCAATGAATTTAATTTTTAAAATGAGCAAAAGATTTAAGCACACTTCACAAAAGAAACTATATGAATGCTCAATAGGCATAAGAAAAGATGCTCAACATCATTAATCATCAGGGAAATGGATACTGAAATCAAACTGAGATAGCAACCCACATCCATTGGAATGGTTAAAATTAAATACATTGATGATACCAAATGTTAGCAAGAATGTTGAACAACAGAAAGGCCAAAATTAATTGGCAGTTTTCTAAAAAAGTTACTCACTTCTATTATGTGACTTGGACATTATTCCTGGGTATTCATTCAAGAGAAACAAAAATGTATTCACACAAACTCCTATACATTAATGTTCTTAAATCTTTATTTGTAGTAGCTCCATACCAGAATCACCCCAAATACTGACAAATGTACGGACAGGCAGATAAAATATGGCATATCTATACAATAAAATATTTCTTAGCACTAAAACAGAATGAATTCCTGACATATGTAACAACATACATGAATTTCAAAGTCATTACAATAAGACTGTAAGAAGCTAGATGCTAAGGAATATGCATGATACCATTTATACGCAATTGTAGAAAATGCTAACTAATCTAAAGTGACAGAAGCAAGTCTGTGGTTGCCTGGGGTTGAGGATGGAGGGAACAATTCTTAGCTGCAAAAATGCATGGGGAAACTTTTTTGGGTGATATAAATATTCTGTATTTTTGTGGCACTGGTGTCGTGGGTATGTGCCTGTGCCAAAACTCGTAGAATTGTATAATTTACATGAATGCAATTTACTGTACGTAAATTATATACCTTAATAATGATGAAAATTAATAAATTGCATGTATGCATAAATTTATTAATAGCAACTAGTAGACATCATAGTCACCAATTTGTCATCTTCAGAAAGTCTCATTAGAAAATAGGGATCATATTACAAAGAGAATGGTGCATTTAATTTGTAATTGGTTCCGTATAATTAATTCTAAAACACTTTACTGTGATATAGATTTAGTAACTCTTCAGTTACGATTATGTTTTGCATACATATCATGTAATATAATCTTTCCCTAATTATAAAAATGTTGAGCTTATGTGATAGTGATGTATAGAGACCTTAGATAGGAATTGTTAAGTATAGAGTTGGATTTACATTCTCATGTATTATGGGTAAAACTTATAAAAATATGCAATAAACAAACTGTTAAATCTTTAGGATATTTATGACAAAACTGGAGATTTAAACACTGACTTTACGTTAAAATATTTTCTAGATGCAATTGTGCTGTTATTTTAAAAAGTTCTTATCTTTTAGGGATATACACTGAAACAATATAATTTTTGATAATTTCTTCAAACTAATATCACAGGGGAGAAGAGAGTGAGCTTGTAGGTGAAGCAAGATTGGTTATAACCTGATAATTACTAAAGTTGAATGATGGGTCCAGGTATATGGGGGCTTATTATATTTTTCTGTTTATATTTGTGTATGTCTGAAATATCCTGTAATAAAAAATGTGTATATCTTCTAATTTAGAAATTTCACTTTAAGGAATTTATCTAAAGGAATTTCTCTTGGGTGTGAACAAACAACCCATAGTAATGTTCAATGCAGTACTGTTATAATGCTAATAAGACTGAAAACAAACACTTAAGAGTGAAAATTTAGTTAGATACATTATGATACATTTTTATGATATACTACCATATGACATTAAAGTGTGTCAAAAATACATAATTACATGGAAAATATTTGTGATATAGTTTTTTTTTTGTTTTTTTTTTGAGACGGAGTTTCACTCTTGTTACCCAGGCGGGAGTGCAATGGCGCGATCTCGGCTCACCGCAACCTCTGCCTCCCGGGTTCAGGCAATTCTCCTGCCCCAGCCTCCTGAGTCGCTGGGATTACAGGCACGTACCACCATGCCCAGCTGATTTTTTGTATTTTTAGTAGAGACGGGGTTTCACCATGTTGACCAGGATGGTCTCGATCTCTTGACCTCGTGATCCACCCGCCTCGGCCTCCCACAGTGCTGGGATTACAGGCTTGAGCCACCGCGCCCGGCCGATTGTGATATAGTTTTAAGAAAAAAAATTGCAAGCTCTAAAACAGTATGTCCACAAAAATTTGTTTTTTAAATTTTATAAAAAGTAAGTTATATACATATGTGGGGTGTGTGTGTGTGTTTGTGTTTGTATGCATATAGAGAGGATACATACACACACACACACACACACACACACACACACACACACGGATATATATCATAATTTATATGCTCATAAGTTTCCAGTATAACTTTTTGGTAATTGGGTCTGTCTTTTTTTTTGAAAGGTTGGATGTTTTAGCTTTGATATGTTAACAATGCAATGTGGTATAAAATTTCACTATAAAATGTTGTATATGCTTTGTTACTTTGTTTCTTTATATTTGTTATTGGTTAAACCTTAGAGTGTTGCACACTGCTTGGCACATAGTAGGCACCGCATAATATTCTTCAATGAATAAGAATCAGTGTTGATTTAAAATCATTTTTCTGGCTGGACACGGTGGCTCATGCCTGTAATTTCAGCAATTTGGGAGGCCGAGGTGGGCAGATCACTTGAGGTCAGGAGTTCAAGACCAGCCTGGCCAACATGGTGAAACCCTGTCTCTACTAAAAATACAAGAATTAGTCGGGTGTGGTGGTGCATGCCTGTAATCCCAGCTACTTGGGCGGCTCAGGCAGGGGAATTGCTTGAACCCAGGAGGCAAAGGTTGCAGGGAGCCCAGATCATGCCACTGCACTCCAGCCTGGGTGACAGAGTGAGACTCCATCTCAAATAAAAAAAAATAAAATAAATAAAATAATTTTTCTTTCTAAAATTTTTCTGTATTTTTCATATTTTCTTTGAAGAACGTATATTACTTTATCTCTGTTAAATGCAGAGACAACAGGGGAGAGACATACTACTTTTTAAATGGGAAATTCACTGTTAAAAAAGTGAATGG